GACTGAGCCACCCAGGCGCCCCCAAGGCTGTTTTATCTAGCACAGTGTCAAATGACTTTTCAGTATAGTTAAGAGATGGAAAGTGTGTAAGAGTCTTGAGATAAAGCTGGATAAAGTTTCTCAAGAAAAAAAGGTTAAAGGACTAGTGAACTGCATGTTTTCTGATTCTAGGGGCTTAAGGTGAAATAGGGCGAAGAGATTGAATCAGAAATCAGGAATACTGAGCAACAGTGGTCATCTGTAGGCGATAATTTCACGAGTTGGGAAAAGGAGGGAGGGAGATGAGGGAGATGGTCCTAAAGAAGTCCTAGGGTCCCACTAACTGTCACAGAGTAAGTTCTCTTTAAGAGAACTGTAATTAATCAGAAGCCCCCGCCCCCACACTCAGCCAAGAACTCTGGTAGGTCCAGGTAGGGAAACTCGGAGTCAGGGGAGGACGGAGCTTGCAGGCTGGGTTGCGTGTGCCGGTGGAGGTTGCCCGCTGCAGAGAACCTGTGAGGTAACAATGGGAGACGCTGCACTTTAAAGCCTAGAATCAGGACGTGCCAGATTGGTTCCGAGTAAAAAACAGTCCTATGAATGTTTCTTGTGGGGGTAGTCAGCCGCCGCCAGGCTCCACCTCTCCCGGGGCCTTGGACGACGTCCCACCTCCCCAAGGCGGCGGCGGCCCAGCCTAAGTCTGCGGCTTCCAGAGGCACCCGCACGCACTGAAGCGCCTCCTGCCGCGTGCCTCCGCAGCTTCCGAGAGGCGGGCGGGCGCCTAGTGCGCAGGTGCGGGAAGCTGGCCCAGGGCTTCGAGCCAAGCCTTCGCAATTACGCCCCCGCCTCCGCAGGCGCTACCGGCCGTTTACTTTTGAACGGCGGCCGCGCGCTCTTTCCCATTGGCGGACGCTACGCAGTTGAATGTTGCCGGGAGACTGCGCCTGCGTCGTGAGGCTCTGCGAGGCCCCGCCCCGTCTGGGCACCTGAAATCTCTCAGGGCGGAGGAGGGCGGGGACGCCAAGCATCTCGGGGACGCGGAGTCTGGAGGCAGTAGAGCAGTTCTGGCCTGTTGGAGTAGGTTGGTTTCCAACTTCCCGCGGTGAGTCTAAGGAGCGTCTCTTCGGGTTCGAGAAGGCATCTCTGGGTCCCTCTTTGCCTGTAAGCGCAGGCAGGTGTACTGGGTATGTTTGGTGGAGAGTTCCAGGGGCTTGATGATGGAGAGGATGGGCATGGGTCCTGCATTTATTCTCTCTCGTCCCAGAGGAGGAGGTTGCGGAACCTCGTTTTCCTCCGTCCCGTGTGTACGGAGCTAAATTTCCGTGAGGGAGCAGGCCGTGTGTGGTGGGGAGGGTGAATGAGAAGAGCGGGACTCCACAGACCTGGTCTGCCTCGCGTGGTTTCGGGTCGGGGGGCGCCGGGGCGGTGGAAGTGCATTAGGAGGGAGGCTCGGGAAGATTTGTCCTAACCCTTGGAGAAAGGGAAGGGTGCGGTTATGTTGAGGCCCTTCTTTGTGAGAGGTTCTCATGAGACTTAACAGTGGGTGTAATTATGCCCATTTTACAGGTGTGAAACCTCAGTTCTGAGGGGCAATAGGAAAAACTGACCCAGGACGCCACAACATTTAAAAGGCAGAACTGAGCGATGTAGAGACGTATTGATGGGAATAATCTAAATCAGTATTTGTAATTTTAGGCTGACAAGATCTTTCACTCCTATGGATGTTTCTTGTCTTCAGGTTAACTTTAAGAAGTCTAAAATGCTCACGAATGTTCGCTCCGTCATCACCATTGTTGGCTAACATTTTCAAGTACTCGTAAGATACTTGACGCTACAAAAAGAGGTCCTTTGTGACAATATTTGGTCACAGGATTGTTGGGATTTTCAGTGTACAAGTGATACCTCTCCTGCACCAACAACTGTTGATATTTGTCACTATTTTTATAAAACACAATGAGGCATAGGGGAGATAAACATCAAAGAGTGAAATAACCATTCCTGTGATGTCATATTTAATACATTCTTCGAGAATGTAAATCTAAAATATTAAGATAAAATTTTTAATTTTAGAATACAAATAAAAGAAACTGAAAAAGTTGGAGAAGATCAAGTATATTCAGTCACTAAGCCAGAAGTTCAGCAAAGTTAGGTAAGCCCTGAAAGATTAAGTGAATACAAAAGAAATCCTGGGTAAATTTTTTTAAGTATGTGATTTAAAGTGTAAGTTGAGATTTTTAAAGATTTTATTTATTTATTTGAGACAGAACGAGAGAGAGAGAGCACATGAGAGGGGTGAGGGTCAGAGGGAGAAGCAGGCTCCCCGCTGAGCAGGGAGCCCGATGCGGGACTCGATCCCGGGACTCCAGGATCATGACCTGAGCCGAAAGCAGTCGCTTAACCAGCTGAGCCACCCAGGTGCCCAAGTTGAGATTTTTAAATCTTGGGAAAAAAGACATGTTGGTGTATAAAATTCAAGCCATCTAGGAGGAGCATAAAGTGAAAACAACCCCCTCATCTGACCTATACCTTAGTCACTTTTGTATACCCTTTCAGAAATTTTATGAGGATTTGTGTACATCTAAACACACAAATGGTATCATTTTATACATACAGACCTGCAAGTTGCATTTATTACTTAAGTTATCTGGATACCTTTTTACTATGCATTTACATACTGATTTGCATTTTTTTGATGACTATGTAGCTATCCTTTGAAGTAAGGTACCATAATTTAGTCTGGCAAGGTGAAATTTTGATTTCAGGTAATGTTAGTTTTAACATTACCTTTCAGCAAACATATTGCTGAATATATTTTCACTGTGAAAAGTACTGAGGAAAAAGCAATGAAAATCTGAATTTCTCATTTCAGTTCTTGGTTAAATCACGTAAGTAGTTTCTTTGTTAGTTTGGGGAAATAGGTTGATGTCAAAATGCAAGAACAGTGCAAATGGGCAGAGTTAAAGTCATATCTGACCATAGGATTTTTTTTTTTTTAATTTGAAAGAGTTATGGTGACCCTTCATTATTTTTGTATATTTATATGTGCAAAAGTATCTTTAAAATCTTGCCCTAGGTATATGGATGGCACAGTTGTAGTATTTCTAAAGTAATCTTGAATTGCATAAAATGTGCTTTGTATCAGTTAGGGCGACAAAGATGTGAGACCCCATCAGAATTTTCCCAGCCTTATAGCTGACTCACACTATAAGTTCTAGAGCAACTCACTTAACCCTATAATGTAAGCATAATTTTCTTCAGAGGTTGTAAAATGTAATGGATGTTTTATTACTATTCATGTTTAAAGATGAAAGGCATTATTAGTGAATTAAAATTAAAAAAATCATTTACACACTACTGTGTAATAGAATGGATAATGATATTTTTTTTGTACTGTTCTCCATAATCTATTCCCAGTACTGAGCACCTATAATATGCTAGTTAGACATTATGGAGGCTCTGTGCTCTCTCTCTCAAATAAATAAATAAAATCTTAAAAAGAAGGGAGTCACTAGGTCCAGTCGACACTCAAGGGAACGGGATTACAAAAGGACATGAGTACTAGAAGTGGAGGTCATTGGGGGCCATCTTGGAGGCTGCCTATCCCAGATAGCTAATGGCTTATTTATTTAAAGAGCTGACAACTCTTGGGTCTATCACTAGCAATTTTGTTAATTCATTGTTTTCTTCATTTATTTTTATTATTTTTCTTCTGCCTTTCCTAGGTTGGTTTTCCTTTTTTTCTCTTTTAAAGATTTTATTTATTTGACAGAGAGACAGCAAGAGAGGGAACACAAGCAGGGGGAGTGGGAGAGGGAGAAGCAGGCTTCCCACTGAGCGGGGAGCCCGATATGGGGCTCGATCCCAGGACCCTGGGATCATGACCTGAGCTGAAGGCAGACGCTTAACGACTGAGCCACCCAGTTGCCCCTAACTCTTTTTCTTTAGATGAATCCTTTTTATATTCCTTTTGTTTGGTAATGGAAGTATATAGCTTCAGCTCTGCCCTATACAATTTTTTTTTTAAACCCTATAGATTTTCCTAAGAGTATTTTTGTTTCACATGAATAAAGTACATCTTGGCTGGGTACATAATTCTTAGGTCATATCCTTTTCCTTCTAGACCCTGTGGACATTGCTATATGATCTTTCAGCATTCCTTGTTGCTTTGGAGATGTTCTGGTTATGTACCACCATGTAACAAATATCTGAAGGCTTGGCTGGCTGCATGTTCATGATGACTTTTTCGCTCACATGTCTGGTACTTCATTGCTTCTCTACTTTTCCTCTCTTGCCAGCAGAGTAGTCTGAACTTTGTTTTACATAGTGATTCATGGCTCTGGTGCAATAACCTGCCAGGCTAATTAAGGGCTATACCCAGAACGGTCATAGCATCCCTTGTACTTTATATCCTGTTGATCAAAGTAGTCACATAGCCTGCCCGGGTTTTTTGTGGGGAAGAGATTTCATCTTTTGATGGGGGAGTACCTCTGAAGCCACCCTGTGGAGGAGCATATGTGGGAGATGATTATTGTGGCCATTTTTGGAAATTAAAATTTCCCAGAAGAGAATTCTGAGACCATTGTTTTTTCTTTTAGATATCTTACTTTTTTGCCTAGATGCTTGTAGGATTGTCTCTGTCTAAAATTTTATGTTTTTAATTAGATATTAATAGTTGAAAATAAAATAGCAGTATTTAGGTTAATAATGAAAAATAGTAGTCCCCTGCCCTCAATCTCCCCACTCCTGCTTCCTGCTCCCCAGAAGCAACCACTTTCATTTAATGATTTATTTTGGTATCTGTTTATAGATTTTTTTTTTTAAAGATTTTATTTATTTGACAGAGAGACAGCGAGAGAGGGAACACAAGCAGGGGGAGTGGGAGGGGGAGAAGCAGGCTTCCTGCAGAGCAGGGAGCCCGATGCGGGGCTTGATCCCAGGACTCTGGGATCATGACCTGAGCCAAAGGCAGACACTTAACTGACTGGGCCACCTAGGCGCCCCTAAGATTTAGTTCTTAAGCACTGTTTCCTTCCTTTATTCCCTCTAGCCAATATAATTGTCATTTTCTTAGTTTGGGCTGTTAGAACAAAAATACCATGGACTAAATGGCCTAAACAACAGATTTTTCACAGTTCTAGAGGCTGGGAAGTCCAAGATCAGGATGCCAGCATAGTTGGGTTCTGGTAAGAGCTCCCTTCCTGGGGTGCCTAATCACCTCCCAAAGGCTGTACTTCTTAATACCATCACATTAACGGCTAGGATTTCAACATGAATTTTGGGGGGACATAGGCATTCAGTCCATAAGTCATGTTTTTTGGTAAAATCAGTATTTAATATTATGACTAATATGATAAATGAGCCATATATTTCCTCCCATTTCATGATTCTGTCACTTTTCCCAAACTTTAGTTTTGTCATCACCTCTCAGTATGTTCAGACACTTGAAATACTGTCAGTTCCGTTTCTTAAAGATCTTTTGGATTCCTTTTGGATCTGTCTTCTTTTCCCAGACTAGTTCTTTAGGCTTCTGCACAGTTGTCCTGGATTTAATTTCACCATTAATCTGGTGAGAATTCTTGCTTTTCTTTTCCAAAATTTATTTTTCTGGGTATAGAATTTTAGGTTGGAAGCCATTTTTTCCTGAGAACATTGAGGGCATTGCTTCACTGCCTTCTAGTTTCCAGTGTTGTTACATACATACAACATAGATAAATCCAAGACATTCGTCCTAGAAGATATACATAGGTAAAGTTTTTGCTCCTTTTTTCCCTCTCAAAAGTCTGAGCTGGATATAGAAAACTGCTGGTGCATAAAATTTCATACTAGTTTCCGGAAGGACTAGCTTCTAAGCATGAAAACCACCTTTATCTTCTGTTTCTAGGGCAATAACCAGAGTCAGAAAGTTGCTGGCCTTACAGAGTTGTTTTTAACCAGGCTTGCTTCTGTTAACCAGTTCTGACTTGTCATAAATTTATTGCCTAAAATCAGTTTTTAAGAGCAAGAAGAGGGTCATCCAAGAGTCGGATTTCATTTCTGTGTCTTCAAGTTAACTACAAACTTCTAATTAAATTTTATTAAAAATGTTTATGTACTGTGAAAGTTAACTTTTGAGACCATATTTGCTTTCTATTTTATATGAGCTCAGGAGATGACATTTTCTTTCAGTATTGTTATAAATATCTTCATTGTAAACAAAGTTGAGCTTTTGGGGTCCCTAAATGGTCTCAGGGAAAAATGTTTTCTAGCCTTTTGTCAAATAAGACTTTAGAGGGAAAGGTTTGATTCTGTTTTAGGCCTAATTTTGGCACTTAAACATTAAATAGCTCTAATATTAAATCTAAATTGAATATATGTCCACTGATCAAATGTCATTTTTCCCCTGCAAAGTGCTGTTTTGTTTATTCCTTCATTATGAATTCTGACATCACTAAAATCCTCTGAGAAACATGTTTGTTTTTCATGGGTGGTTTTGTGTGATTATAGAGCTCTCTGTAGATATGGTGTAAAGTCATGAAATCTTCCCAGCATGCATTCTCTTGGACTTATCTGCAATGAATGTCATCTTCTGTACTGTTGCCCAATTACTTAATTTCCCGGAATGTTTCACAGTTGAAGCTTAGGATCTGTGTGACACATTTTGACTCAATAGCGTTCTGAATATTGTCAATCTGAATGGAGTAATTTTTGATAGACTCTCCTGTTATAGCTTTTCCTAAACAAAGTAGAGATTTTGCTGTTTTTTAAAAAAACAAAAAAGTAAGATCTGACATTAACGTTGGTTTCTGAAGGGGTAGTGTTTATTCAACCAATGTTGAGTGAATCCTTACTATGTGTTTAGTGAATACATTTAGTGAATACCTACAAGTTCTGTGTTTAGACACAATTCCTGCCCTTATTGCAGGCTTACATCCTAATATATAGGAAAATGTTACAAAATTCTCTTAATAACTCCAGTTAAATACCATAAATTGGCAGGACAGCATTCAGTGAGATTAATAAGAGACCTAATTTGGGAGGAGGCAGGGCCCAATTTGAGACTTGAATAAGAGTTTGATTTTAAAAATGTGAAGGAGCATAGAGCCAAAAGTCTAGAGAGGTTTTTAATAGTTAATAAAAGTACACAATTATTTGTAGATGTCTTCTCAAATTACTCATCTTAAAAGTTAGCTTTATAGAGGATGATTTGGTAACCTTTATATTTTACATGAATGAGACTTGGGTTTTTTGTTTTGCTCTTTAAGGTTCTCTAAATGGTGGTGTAACTTGCTTTTTCTCTATCAGAGCTAAGTAATTCCTGGAGATTGTGGCTTGAATTTGAGGATAGGTACAAACTAAGACTGTAAGACGAGGTAGGGTACAAAACTGTCAGGCTTTTGTTGTTGGAAATGTCAAAAGTATCTTGCCAAGAGGTCAAGTTACTATTGCTGGGTTTCTTTCATTAAGGAAAGAGGAATAATGATGTCCTTTACCACTAACGCTCTACTAGTCAGTAATTCATAGTTAACCCCAATCAACACTTCATCTTTAAAACTGATTTTTATTGGAAGGACTAATTAAAAAATGTTTTTCCCTTCCAAATCTGCAAATTAGAATTATTACTTTGGAATATTAAACTACGCTGATCCTGGACTTTAAGCATACTAGTATTTCAACTGAAGAAGCTAAGAAATTTATAGTAACTGTTACTAGAGAAATTTAATACCTTGCCTTAGGAACTATGGTTGAGCCAACTGGGAACATGAATTCTTTTGAATTAAAGAATATAGTTTTGCTAATCCCAATTTGTTATTTAGTAGGAATGTTTAATCTTGCCTATTTTTGCATAATTAAAAAAAAAATCCATTGGACACCTGGGTAGCTCAGTTGGTTAAGTGTCCGCCTTCGGGTCAGGTCATGATCCCGGGGTCCTGGGATCGAGTCCCATATCGGGCTCCTTGCTCAGGGGGGAGCCTGCTTCTCCCTCTGCCTGCCACTCCCCCTGCTTGTGCTTGCTCATGCTCTCTCTCTCTGGCAAATAAATAAAATCTTAAAAAAGAATCCTAACTTATTTTTGAGTATAAATGATGCACATTACATTAGTTTCATGTGTACAACAGTTTCAGCAACTCTGTATTCATTATGGTATGCTCACACAATTATAGCTACCATGTCACTATACAGACCTATTAAAATACTGTATTCCCAGTGTTGTACCTTTCATCTTCATGCTTATCCCATAACTGGAAGCCCGAACCTTCCTATCATCCTCTTCACCCATTTCACCATCCCCACGCTCCCCCTGACCACAACCACTTTTGTTCCTGTATTTATGGATCTGTTTTGGTGTTTTTGTTTGCTCATTTATTTTTTAAAAAGATTTAATTTATTTTAGAATGAGAGAGAGCACTAGCAGGGGGGAGGGCAGAGGAAGAGGGAGAGAGAGAATCTTAAGCAGACTGTGCTAAGCAAGGAGCCTGATGTGGGACTCTATCCCATGACCCTGAGATCATGACCTGGAGTTGAAACCAAGAGTCGGACACTCAACCAACTGAGCCATCCAGGTGCCTCTGCTCATCTGTTTAGGTTCCACATATAAGTGAAATCACATGGTATTAGTCTTATTTTGCTTAGCATAATACCCTCTAGGTCCATCCATGTTATTGCAGATGATAAAATCTCATTTTTCTATGGCTGATTATTATTCCATTGTTTCTATATATTTATCATACACACACACATACATATATATGCATACATACACACCAGATCTCATCTGTTCATTTATGATGGGCACTTCTACTGCCTCCGTATCTTGGCTATTGCAAATAATGCTGCAGTGAACATGGGGTGCATACGTCTTTTGGATTTAGTGTTATTTTTGTTGGATAAATATCTAGGAGTGGAATTACTGGGTTGTATGGTATTTCTATTTTTAGTTTTTTGAGGAACCTCCATACTGTTTTCCAGTGATTGCACCAATTTATACTCCATCAACAGTGCAGGATTCCGTTTTTTCCACATCCTTGCCAACACTTATTTTTCTTGTCTGATACTAGCCATTCTGACAAACCTAAGGTGGTGTCTTGTGGTTTTGATGTGCGTTTCCCTGATGATCAGTGATGTTGAGCATTGTGTCATGTCTGTTGGCCATCTATATGTCTTTGGAAAACGGTTTATTCAGGCCCTCTGCCCATTTTTTAATTGGATTGTTTTTGGTGTTGGGTTGTACAAGTTCCTCATATATTTTGGATATTAACCCCTTATCAGATAGGTATCATTTGCAAATAACCTCCCATTGCCTTTTCATTTGCTGGGCAGAAACTTAATTTTGGTGTAGTTCCAATTTATTTTTGCTTGTTTCCCTTGCTTAAGGAGACATATCTAGAAAAATGTTGCCAAGACCAATGTCCCCATAGATTATTTTCTATGTTTTCTTGATGGAGTGTTCAGGTTTTACATTTGGGTATTTTAATCCACTTTGAGTTTATTTTTTTATATGGTATAAAAAAAGTGGTCCAGTTTCAGTCTTTAGCATAGAGCTGTTCAGTTTTCCCAGCATCATTAAAGTGATTATCTTTTCCTCATTGTATATTCTTGTCTCCATTGTCAGAGATTGCCCATGTAAGTGTGAGTTTATTTCTGGGCTATCCTGTTCATTGATCTTTGTGTTTTTGTACCAGTAAAAATACTGTTTTAACTACTCCAGCTTTGTAGTATAGTTTGAAATATGGGATTGTGGTACCTCCCACTTTGTTGTTCTTTTACAAGATTGCTTTGGCTGTTCAGGATCTTTTGTGGTTCCATACAAATTTTAGGCTTATTCTAGTTCTATGAAAAATACTATTGGTATTCTGATAGAGATTACATTGAATCTGTAGATTGCTTTAGGTAGTATAGACATTTTGACAATGTTCTTCCAGTCCAGAGTATGGCATATTTTTCAACCTGTTTATGTTGTCTTCAGTTTCTTCCATCAGTGTTGAATAGTTTTCAGAGTACATGTCTTGCACCTTCTTGATTTATTCCTAGGTATTTTATTCTGGTAAATGTGGTTAATTTCTTCCTGCTACTGTTAAGTGTATAGAAATGCAACAGATTAATTTTGTATACTGCAACTTTACTGAATCTTCATTTATTCTATCTAAGTTTTTTGGTGATCTTTAGGGTTTTCTATATAAAGTATCCTGTCATTTGCAAATAATCACAGTTTTACTTTTTTTTTTTTTTAACCAACGTAGATGCCTTTTCTTTTTTCTTGTCTGCTATGGCTAGGACTTCCAGTTCTTGTGCATAGTTTAGATTTTAGCACTTAGAATGTAAAAATTGCACAGGTTATCATTAAGTAGACTTCAACAGAACACTGAATTTTACTTTTGCATAGAAGCAAACTTAAATAACTTTAATTTGAAATATTTACTACAAATTAGAATTGTTTAGCATGATTTTTGTCCCAAAGTAAGCTCTTAAAAATGATGTCTATATTATTAGGAATTGTATTACTTAGAAAGCTGTATTTAGGGCACCTGGGTGGCTCAGTTGGTTAAGCAACTGCCTTCGGCTCAGGTCATGATCCTGGAGTCCCGGGATCGAGTCCCGCATCGGGCTCCCTGCTCAGCAGGGAGTCTGCTTCTCCCTCTGACCCTCCCCCGTCTCATGTACTCTCTCTCATTCTCGCTCTCTCAAATAAATAAATCTTAAAAAAAAAAAAAAAAGCTGTATTTAAAAATCTTAAACATCTTAATTATCTTTTAAATGACAAGCACAGTATATTAATAGTTTTGAGGTTAACACCTAAAACTTTATATGGTATGTACAAGTGTCTTTGTTACATGGAGACTTAAAATATTTTCTTCTCTTGACAGGAAATGCACAATTTTGAGGACGAGTTAACATGTCCCATTTGTTACAGTATTTTTGAAGATCCTCGTGTACTACCGTGCTCTCATACATTTTGTAGAAATTGTTTGGAAAACGTTCTTCAAGCATCTGGGAACTTTTATATATGGAGACCTTTACGAATTCCACTCAAATGCCCTAACTGCAGAAGTATTATTGAAATTGCTCCAACTGGTATTGAATCTTTACCTGTTAATTTTGCATTAAGGGCTATTATTGAAAAGTACCAGCAAGAAGACCATCCAGATATTGTCACCTGTCCTGAACATTACAGACAACCATTAAATGTTTACTGTCTCCTAGATAAAAAACTAGTTTGTGGTCATTGCCTTACCATAGGTGAACATCATGGTCATCCCATAGATGATCTTCAAAGTGCTTATCTGAAAGAAAAGGACACGCCTCAAAAACTGCTTGAACAGTTAACTGACACACACTGGACAGATCTTACTCGTCTTATTGAAAAGCTGGAAGAACAGAAATCTCATTCAGAAAAAATGGTCCAAAGTGATAAGGAAGTTGTCCTACAGTATTTTAAGGAGCTTAGTGATACATTAGAACAGAAAAAAAAAGTTTTCCTAGCTGCTCTCTGTGATGTTAGCAATCTGATTAATCAAGAATATACTCCACAAATTGAAAGAATGAAAGAAATAAGAGAGCAGCAACTTGAATTAATGACACTGACATCATCTTTACAGGAAGAGTCTCCACTTAAATTTCTTGAAAAAGTTGATGATATCCGCCAACATGTGCAGATTTTGAAACAAAGACCACTTCCTGAGGTTCAACCTGTTGAAATTTATCCTCGAGTAAGCCAAATATTGAAAGAAGATTGGAGCAGAACAGAAATTGGACAAATTAAGAAACTTCTCATTCCTGAAATGAAAATTTCTTCAAAGAGGATGCCATGTTCCTGGCCTGACAAAGATGAAAAAGAAGTTGAATTTTTTAAGATTTTAAACGTTGTTATAGTTACTTTAATTTCAGTGATACTGATGTTGATCCTCTTTTTTAACCAACACATAATAGCCTTTTTAAATGAAATCACTTCAATATGTTTTTCTGAAGTCTCTCTATCTGTTTACCAAAGTTTATCTAACAGTCTGCATGATTTAAAGAATATGCTATGTCACACTTTATATTTACTGAAGGAATTCATGTGGAAAATAGTTTATCGTTGAAAATTCAAATCTGAATTGTTTAAATAGGCTTATTCTGTACAGCAGACTAAACCATTGCTAAAGGGAGAAGTAGGGTACGATGGATAAACAAAATAGCCAACTGACCTATCAGAGTTACAACAAATATATAGAAATATGTTAAACCATCCATGCTTCTTAGATGATGGAAATATGTCAGTTAGAAATCATACATAAGGTGTCTAAACCAGAGTAGTATCTAGTTCACTTGCTTTAATACATTAGCCCATTTACTTTATTGCTGTGGCATTGAAACATTCCTGTATCATTACTGTCTTTTAGCATTTTTTGTCTTTTAGCATTCTATTACTGCAGTGGTTAGTGTTGCAGTTCTTTATGTATAGTTTTTAGATTAAAAGATGGCAAAATCCTTAGAGTGTATAGGCCTTTATTTTGATGTGGCTTGAAAGCCTTTTGCCAAATAAGGATGGTGAGTAGAGGTTTTAAATTCAAGTAGCAAAGTCTCAAAGTGTTAAGGGATTGCTTACATTAAGGATATTTTTGATCAAACATACCTGAGGCATTTATGTATTTTAAGATAGATTTAAGAGCCCTACAATGTTTATCAACATTCATTCCTGACAAAGTTACTGCTTTTGGAAATATTTTGTTAGGGAACAAACAGTGACCTTTTCAAATGATGGTCTTATTTTATTCTGTGGTTTGTGTAAGTTTGACTTTTTGGTTAGTGCTTTAGTCTTGCCAGTCAAATCAGTTCTTAGATTAAAAATTCAAAACGTTACCAGCATAGTATATTGTTGATATATTCCATCATTGGATTTAGGTGGCATCATATTAACTCTATTTGTCTTAAAAATGGGCTTTTCTGCTATTTGCTTAGGCTATTATCAAAGTACCAATAATTTAACTTTCTTGAATTTTGCTTAAATGGGAGCCTGTGTAGCTCTTAAGTCAAATCCCTTTGATTAGTTTCCTTATTGTTAACAGGGACTGGAATTGTGGTGCTTGTGGTAGGACTTTTGTCCATGAAAACTGTAAGTAAAAGGTCATTTGTTTTCCAGAATTCCAAATTGGCTGTTGCTCTTAGATCCATTCCCTAGGAACCCTATCTAGTTCAGAGACTTTTCAAGTCATTTTAGGGAATGCTCCTGGTTCTATACTACATATAAATTATAATGAATTAATATGGCTGTAGTTCTAAAATGCTCCTAAAGTCTTATCTGCTGAGAATATCTTACCACAAAGGTGGCTGGCTCTATCAAGTAAAATATATGACCAGAATCAGAATATATATCTAGCACAGTTAACAATCGTGTGGGCAAAGAACATTTGGAGGGTATTAATAGAGGTGGTGGGGGGAGCTAAATATTAAGGTACTGAAATATAAATACAACATATTAACTTTAGACTGAAGTTGATTAGTCACAATACAAAAATGCCACAACTTTTTTTTTATTTATTTATCTGAGAGAGAGAATGGGAGACAGAGCATGAGAGGGGGGAGGGTCAGTGGGAGAAGCAGACTCCCTGCTGAGCAGGGAGCCCGATGCGGGACTCGATCCCGGGACTCTAGGATCATGACCTGAGCCAAAGGCAGTCACTTAACCAACTGAGCCACCCAGGCGCCCCATAAATGCCACAACTTTTTGAATACGTTTATTAGTAAGCACTGAAATTTTATTAGCTATTTGTGTCAAGCACTTAATGTCACATGTCTGAAGTAGGTATTAACTTCTTTCTGTAGATAAGCAAACACAACAAAAAGTGATTTGCCCAAGGCCTACAGTCAGCATATGGGAGACAATGTCTTTCCAGAGTTCCTGCTGTCATGCTACCAAAACTTTAAGCCAGGATTTTTATTCAATTAGGACTAATTTATGTCTAAGAATCATCTATAAGATTGGAACATATACACACATTTTAGGTTTGACATTACCATTTTGTAAGTTGCCAGTTCTTAGACAAAACTGAATTTTATGTAGTGTGCATGAATATAGTCAAGAATACAAATAACCGATTCTTAATACATGTTGTTTTTTAATTCTTACCTGGAGGATGAAATTGTAAAATTTAAAGTATATAATCTTGAAATATTTCTAAGTTTTATGTATAACAAAATATATATTTTAATAAACTTATTTTGCTATTTTATTTGCATTGAGTGGCTTAATAAGGTGCTCAAACTCGAGTGGTAGCTTTGGGGAATTTTCATGAGTTATGGGAATTATCTATTTTAAATCTTTAAGACATGTCATAGAGCTTTAGTACTAGAGTGTTAAGCTTCATTAATCACTGCTTTCACCGATGAAAAAGCACTTGATTATAGTTTTACTTTTTCCTTATATCTTGATTTAAAACAAATGACCACACTTGAGTTTCAGATCTTGCTTTATTTAAGTCCATGCTAATGTATTCACATATTTAATGACATGATATAAACCATCTTTGTTGGAATTTTTTAGTACCTAAACAATGGTTGCTGAATATTGAGCTAATAACTTTTTTAATTTCTTAGAATCAGTATCTAGAAATCAAATAGCCAGGGCAAAGACTTGATTCAACACCAAAATTCCTCTTGAACCCAAGTGGTTGCCAGCTTCAGTTACACGGTAACACTGAGCTAATGCAGAAAAGTGTCCTGGCAAATGGATAGGCAAATACTCCATCTTAATTTCCATTTATACTAAGGAAGTTAACCCCTACATACTTCATTTTTTTATGAAGCAATTAACTGATGAGTATCTTATTCATGTTCAGATATTGTCTGTTTGCTGGCCCTCTTGCAAGTTTTAAACACAGAAAAGCATTAAAATATTTAAATTTTCATCTTGCAGAATTCAGAACTGTTTAAAAAAGTGTTCCCATTGTTTGGGTAATAGTGACTAAACTATTAAATTATAGTAAATAGAATACCTTAAGAATTTATTCAATAGTAGTTGGCAGGTTTTTCCATTGTAGATTAGAGATCCATGATGGTATGCTGCATCTTGATTAACATGATATAGTTTAGAACTTACTATTCACGAACTAACACATTTTTAACTCTGTTGGTAACAGCTTGGGACTAAGGGCAAATCACCTGACCCTCCCAGGCACCTTATTTTCTCCATAGCCTGATGCTTACAAAACGGTCAGACTCCTAGTCTCCTAGAAGCAGGTATATAGAGTACTTTTTAAAAGATTTTATTTGAGAGAGAGTACACGAACAAGCAAGGGAAGAGGCAGAGGGAGGGAGCCTGATAAAGGGCTCGATCCCAGCACCCTGGCATCATGACCTGAGCCAAAGGCAGATACTTATTAACCAACTAAGCCACCCAGGCACCCCTAGAATATTTTATTAGACTTTATAACATGTCTCCTAATAGCATAAAATAGAAGCCAGTTAGTTATATGATTCAGTTTAGGAATATGTATTTTACATAATTTATAATTCTTTACAAATAGAAAATAATACAATATGCTGATTCAATTTAAGGAATCCTGGGTATAAACAAATTCAACAAAGTCCTTTAGATGCGATTTGTTTTGGGTTTACTGCAACACTTTTTGTTATATTGTATGTCTTGTATATTCCAATAAGTCTGTCTGAAATCTCAAACATATTATTTCGAAGAGAAATTATTATGAACTGGGCATTTTTTGTTTGTTCCTAAAGAGAAAGAAAAAATAGGTTAGAACTATTAATAACAAATCATAATAAACATCTAAACTTCCTTGAAATGTTTTTTCTGGGCAATAAATTTAACATTACTTTGATAATTAAGATGAACAGGAATGATAGCATGGGTAATTCATGACACAGTATTTGAGTTTGAGAGGAATTTGGGTATTTTTGGAAGCATGATTGCCTAGAAGTCTTCTAGTGGGAAAGAAATCTAAGGAGACTAGAGATTCTAGTTATGTTTCTGCTACTAATTTACATTATCAGTTTATATTTTAACTTGTCCAAATTGGAAATATTTAGTTCAAATAAAGGACCTGGTCTTAGGACATGATATTAAGAGTACAGGGGAAAAGCTCAAAAGTAAGTCAATGAATTCCATGTATATCATTATAAAATTCTCAGAATGAAAACCTCTAAATGATTACTTACATATATATAAAATGCAACAATGGACACATTTTTAAAATCAAGGGCTGCATCAATCTCATCCATGAAGTACAGAGGAGTAGGTTTGTAGTGGTGAAGAGCAAATACTAAAGCCAAAGAACTAAGTGTTTTCTCTCCTCCTGAAAGATTGAAGATCTTCTTCCAACTTTTCTTAGGTGGTCGAACACTGAATTAAAAGAAAATCTCGCCTTAGATTGCAAAGTTAAAGACTTCATGATTTGTTTTCCGTAACTGGCTTCTACCATCTTCCTTGGGGATCTCTAATTTGCTTTTCACAGATCTAAACTTTTTTGGGGTTATTTTATAAAAATGTTATTGGAGAATGAACACAACACCTACCAAAATTTTAAGATTTAAACAGTAAGCCAGTGAACACTTCTTGCTATTCTTGTTTCCAGTGCATTTTTTTTGCTTTGCAATTTTAAAATCCTAATGTTAAACTAAAATGGCTCAAAAATTTCAAAAGATGAACTAGACAAATATTGTGTAAAATTATTTGCTGCTTGCCCAGAATTTATGCTGTAAACTGCCAATATGTAAACAAATTATTATTTACCATCAAATAAAACAAGCTGGAGTGCTAACCTTCACATCCCACCCTTTAAAAATACCGGCAATTTGGAGATTATGTAGAGAGATGTAACAAGAGAATCTAAAACTCAGTATAGGGACGCCTGGGTGGCTCAGTCGTTGAGTGTCAGCCTTCGGCTCGGGTCATGATCCCAGGGTCCTGGGATCGAGCCCTGCCATCGGGCTCCCTGCTCCACGGGAAGCCTGCTTCTCCCTCTCCCACTCCCCGTGCTTGTGTTCTCTCTCTTGCTGTCTCTCTCTCTCTGTCAAATACATAAAATCTAAAAACAAAACAGAACTCAGTATAATTACAAACCTGAACATGATCCCTTCAGAGAAAGGGTCCAAGCTGTCTACAAGCTCCAGTTCAGCATCACCTCCCAAAGTTAGCATTTGGTAATTTTCCTTTAATTTATTTGTTATTATATAAAAACCTGCCATGAATTCATTAAGCCTTTGTTTCCGAAGATCTTCATATGCCTGTCTAAACTGATCTCTTTCACAAGTAATTTTGTCCAATTCTGCTACCCGCTGTAAATATAATTCTTCCTATGGAAAAAAAAATGAGAAAAACATCTATTCAGTTACTCTTTTGAGATGAGAGTTAAAACTGCTAATTATATAAATTAAAATTCACAATTTAGGCTAAGGACTAAAAAGAATTTCAGACTAAGTCATTTACACAGTTTATTCATACCTTCTTTTTATACTCTGCAATGGCACCAAGGTTTGGTTTCATTTCATGACACTGGGCTTCTAAAAGTGCAATTTGATTTGTTATAGAATCTGGGTTCTTAATTGCTTCAAGATCCTCTGGGCTTAAAACTGCAATCTCTTCAAGAGGACTATCTTCTATGGGGTGCAATGATATTTTTGAAATCTAAAAGTTCAATTAAGATGAGTGTTAGGGAAGGCACAGAACTATAATTCATTGTTTTTTTAAAAAAATCAAATCACAATATGACAAATTACCTATCTACTAAAACAATATATACTAAGGAATTGTGGCTAATTTCTGTAGCAATTATTTTTCAAAGAACATCAAGAAAAATAATTGTAGTGTTCCAAAGTGTTCATGTAGCCTTTTGTTAAATCTCTGAATCAGCCCTGGGGTGAAAATGAACCATTACCCAGACTTCTCTATATATAGAAATTACTATATATTGTTCATTATGTATTCTATAAACCTGAGAAATGATTATCTCTGGGAATTAAGAATCATAACATCTCAAAAATACAAAATAGAAACAAACACAACTCTTTCATAAAGGATATTTTAAAGCCACATTTAACTAAATGGTAACCGTAATCTTACCTCTTTTTGCCAGTATTTTATTTTAGAATTATGTTCAGCCATGTGACCATCTATTTGTTCAAGTTTCAACTTAATACTAAGTGCATCTTTTTGAAGAGCATGTTCATTTTCTTGAATTGTTTTTAGTTCCTGAAGTAGATTACGATGTTCTTTTTGGATCTCTGGTAAGGACTCCTAAAAACCAAGAAGAACTACTATAGATAAGACCTTCCCAAATGGAAAGAAAGAACAGGTATTTTTACATTACAGAGATGAAGAAATTAGCAATCGCTCCCTATGCCCCTTCCATTTTAAAAGATTATTTACGGAAAAGTTACAGTACTCATATTTTTTTTGTACAAATGTTAATTATAGCTATAAAAGTTTTAAGCTATTGGGTACTTACTAAGCTATTGAGTTTTAAGCTATTGAGTACTGATGTCATATATCCAAATCCTTGAATTGCTTCAAATACCATTCACTCCCACCTCCAAGTCTTACCTCTGCAGCATTTGTGTT